GATCGCTGATAAAGCGTGCATTAATCAGAAGATTTTTATTTATATAATAACAGTTTTTTTTCCTGGAGGAGAGGAAAACCTTGCATAGGGTCCACAGTATTCTTACAAACTAAAAATTTCTCCTCTTCTTCGTCAGCATTCAGGATCTGAAATGTTGATTGTCTCACTTATTAGTCTAAATCAGTGTCGGCTTCCACTGCCATTTTCTTTGTCTCTTTCTTCTCCTCTGGTTTTCTTTTTTGGTAGAGAGTACATCTGACACATACCTTGCAATTACGTTCCATTTGTCGCTGCTTTTCAACAGTTCACTGCCAAATTCTGCAGGGGTAGAACAACTCCGAGATTTGCTTCAGTTACATACCATCATTATCCTCGTAATACCAACACTTCTCGTCCTCCTTCTTCGCGATGAAGTGGATATATTTTCTGAAACATCCGTGTCCAGAAAGCACATGCATCAAATGGAAAGCTACTTCCCCATGGTTTCTATTAATCCATGATTTGATTTCTGGGATGAGTCTTCTAGTCCAGGCTTCCTTCTCTGAAGTTTGCCATATTTCCTGCCATCTTTGCCACAATCTGTCTCTTGCATCCGTTTTGCTAGCGCTACTACTTGTACAGCATCTCTTAAGAGTGTCCCATATGTACTGCATATCTTAATTGCACACTTTCGCTGGACAGTTTCAAGCAATCTTCTATAGCTTTTCACCGTCATCGCTTCTTCCCATACAGGATCTGCATGTAGCATTACAGATTGCGCCTTTTCTTACTCGACTTAGGTCCTCTATTGTTTAACATCAGCATGCTATATAATAATAGTTAGCTGAGGTTCAGGTGCGGAATTTCAAAAAGAGACAACAAACATCTCAAATAAACTATCATTACTTCCACATATAATCTATTTTTTACTTGCTGTACAAAGAGGAAAATTGTTGTGATTGCAAATATCTTGCTTTATTTCAATATGCACTTATCTTATTGATTATTTATTCATATTTAATTCATACAGATAAGTTTCAGTTAAATCAACAAATCTGTAACATTGATTATTTTTTAACAATAAGAAAGTTTTAATGCATTTTTGCATCTAAATACAAAAAAAAAAGTATAATTATATTAACTGTCATTAATTTAATACTAAAATGTTTAAATTTATAGACAAATATTTGTGAAAAATCATCAAACGTTATTAAAAAATTAAACTAAAAATGTAATTTTATAATAAAATAACTTTTTCCTTATATTCTTTTGGTAGTTTAATTCATTGAATTATATTAATTTACAATTTACATTATAAAATCTATTTTAATTGATATATAAAAATTACTTTTTGAAAATCTTAAATTTATTGAAGAAAAAATTATGGAAATAAAGAAAATTTTATACAATGCAAAGTTAAATTCTGATTGTTTTTGGAAAGTTTGAATAATCAAAGTAAAATTTACTTTTTGATAATCATATTTTTAGATTCATTGTCAAATTATAGTTTTTAATTATTGAAAAAAGATATTTTTTTTATATTTTATAAAGTCTTTAGTTTTGTATATTTCAGTAATCAATTTTGTACTTAAATGCATTGTAAAGTGAGAAAAGTTAATGAAAAATAGAGAATTATTTTATTTAATTCCTAAATTGTTTGAGCTGAAATATGTGCATAAAGTTTCTTTGTGAAAATCAAATTTTAGTTTAAATTTATGCAAAAAAAAAAATCAAAATTTTAGTTTCATATTATGAAAGTCACATTTTGAGTTTAAAATTATTGGAAAGTGTGAAAGGGGGATGAAAAAAGTGCAATTCATCAAATAATAAAAGTTTGTTGTTTAAAGGATTTAGCGTCCCATTTGAGCAATTGTGCGGCTACCGAATTCGGTGTTAAGAAAAGAAAATAAGGTCAATATTATTATTATCTTAAGACTGTTTGGTTAGGGGGAGGCTGCGACCATACGAACTGCGCCCGCTCTTTCCAATTTACTGCTTCGGCCACTGAAGAGAGCCAAGAGAGAAGAGACTCAAGAGCTGGAAAATCTGTTAACAATGCGGCACGAGCGTCACATGTCGTTCCAGGTACGTCCACTCCTCTAATACTCTCTTTCTCCTTCACCGATCGAGTGGTCTTCAAAGATGAGGTCTCTCTACAAACACAACCCGAAGGAAAAACTGTTAACAGAATTGACACCTGTCAGCCGCGTCGGATCCGATGTTGTTATCTTCAAGTAACGAAGAATAGAAAAAAAAGTTATATATAAAAAAAAACAAGATATAGAGCGATCAAAGAAGCAAGAAAAAGCAGGAGTTTTCGACGACAAAGAAAACCGGAAGTCTTGTGGCAATTTCGTTGCGTGCCACCCGTGGCGGAATTGTAGAGAAACAGCTGTGGATGGAGAGAGAGGATGAAAGCAAATCCGGATTGTTTAAACAATAAATTCCTCGTTATATTTTCACGCTCTCGCCTTGTGTCACCTCCATCATTAATGCAGTTACACCAGTTACGATCATACGTGTGTATTATGTTTGTATTTTTTTTGTTATTTCGCCCCTCAATTTGTTCCGTTTATTAGACAAATCTATTTTTAATGAAAGATAATCACCAGAAAAACCAACAGCACACATATGACTTAATTAAATTTTTGTTACGTGGTGGGCGTTGTGTTTCAGTTTCCTTCTTTTTTTCTGCTGCTGTTGTTGTTATTGTTTGCGAGGACACATAATGATTTCATTATGTGCGTTTTTTTTTCTGGGAAACAGGAGGTAATGGTAATAATAATCCGGCCCAACTGCCCATCGGTCATCGGAAAGAGTTGCAGGGAAAGCTGCTTCTATTTTTTTTCTTCTTTTTGAACCCTCTGCAAAACCCTACGGATTATCCTTTAATGGATGTCCACGTGCGGAAGGAAAACAGTTTTCCTAAGGTTTTCGGCGATTCAAGTACCGCAGCACACAAATGCGCTTATTATAAACGAACCGCATTCGCAGCGATCGGTGGTGTTCCTTTAACGCTGCTACAATCCCAAAGAAAATATTTACCATTCGAAACGCATCATTCCTCCTGTTTCCTATTGTACTTTACTAACAAAACTAGTATTAGTGTGTACACCCTTTCATCACCTATTCAAAACCCTTTTTCTTATCACAAATGACCATCAACAAAAATACATTTTATTTCCATTAAATATATACTTAAATTTATTTAACAAAACTAAACAATCTTCTAATTAAAATTAGTTACATTTATATTATTAATTAATTTAGAAAACATCTAAAACAACAACAAAATTCAACTAAACTCAATTATTTTTTTTGAAAATAAACATTACTTTACTTAAATTCGTCTATACATTTCAAATTTTACAAAGAAAAAAACGTTCAAACTTCTTTCAATTAAAATTATGTTTTTTATAAATTATATTCATTATTAGTGTACAAAATGATGTGAATTTAGAAGACAAAAAACTTCAATTAAATTATTGAAATACGAATGTTTCATTTAACTATGTAATATAAAATAGAAGAAAAAAGTAAATTTCCATTTGGAAAATTTCGATTGATGCAAAGTTCAATTAGTTGAGACGTTCGCGATAACTTCTGCGGATCCGAAAAAGACGAAAAACAAAATTAAGATATTTTTTCATCGATACTAATTGAATGGAAGAAAAATCGAGGAGGCCGGGTCGCAGGTCACATCAATTAAATTGAAAACGAAGAAAAAAAAAACTAGGTCAATGTTTTCAGTTTTCCCATAGCTTCTTGCGTAATTACGTTGATACGTGTATATATATATATTCAATTTAACAATTTTGGTTGTAAATCTTATAATTTAGAGAGAATTTTTCGCATTTTTTTTATAGATAATATTCAATGTTGTTTATAATATTGTAATACCATTAAATAAAGACTTTGTAAGAAGTGAAAGAGTTATTTTTTGTAAATAAAAATGATGAGAGAAGAAAATTACATGTATTATTGAAAATTTAGAAAAAAATATTTTGTAGTTTAAGAATTTTAGTCTATAAACTGTAATACTACTATGAAATTAGATAAAAGTATAATAATTGTTATGTAAAAATAAATCCAATGTTAAAAAAAAAACTTATTAGAAAGACTAAATACTTTGTTAATATTCAATATAACTTTCTAAGGAAAGGAAAATAAAGCAATTTTTCTATTAATGCAAAAATGTATATTGTAATTATGAAAATCAATGATATTTTTAAAGAAATCCTATTCATATTAAATGTATGTTGATTATTATATAATTTATCTAGTTTTTGTTGTAAGAATCTGAATTTTAAATTTTGAATTAAATTTATACAAAATATTATAAATTAATGTATTTAATAATTTATCTTTTATAAAAATTGTATATAAAATACTTAAAAGAATGTTCTTAAGATTTTATTTTTTTTAGATATTTTGATGAAGTTGAGGTAAGTTTTAATGAAGAAATAAATATATAGGAAGTTTGAATTATAATAATATTGAGATTATTATTTGATGTAGTATGGATTAAAAGTTGTATATTGAGAAGAGAGTTAAGTTGTGTTTAAAAGTATTGCAAATTGCAGAATGAATTATGTGCGTGGAGGAAACATAAATATTGTTGTTGAAAATGAGATTTACGAGCGATGTCGTTTAGTAGAAGCGTTGATAAGTGGGAGAAGTGATGGTAGTGGCCTTATCAATCAATTAGTGGTGGTGCTAGTAGTAGCAGTAGTAGAATCGTTAGTTGTAGAATTAGTAAAGAGATAGAGAAGGTTCTTTTTGGCTGCAGCAGATAGCTTTCGGCTTCGTGTCCGTCTGTCTGTGTAGTCTTCTTCTGATGCGATGCGACGATGTGCGTGCAGACAATGTGCACCTTAATAGCAGTTAGCATTCGGTGGTTGTTTGCTGCGAAGAGGCTATAGCCTATAACCCGTTAGGGTCCTCCCAGTTGGGCCCCCTCTTCGTGGAGGAGGGGCCAGGGCCGTGGAGGCCCCAAAACATGCGCGTTCTCGGCACAGCCTTCTGCAGACCGCGTTAGTGCGCGGACGCTCCTCGACGCGGTTGTTGTTGTCATGCGCGCCTCGAAAACTGCAAACTGCCTCGACGAAGATTTTCAAATTTCCACAACGGGAAAACAGAGATACGCCTGAAGAAAAACGAAAATCGTATAAACTCGAAGAAGAAGAAGTTGTCAACGACATCCTCGTCTGCATCGGCATTTTTGTATAGACGAAGCAAGATCACTTGTGTGGTGTTGTTCGAACCTCCGGTGCTTGGTGCGACGGCAGTTGCAGCGCGCTTCTTCTCTATTCCGTTTTTCCGGTTTGTTTTTTGCTCTTTACATCCTGCACAAGGAATATCGCGTGCGGACGGACCGATGCAGCGCGTGCAGTGTGTGGATTAACCATATCTGAAGTGTTGTTCTCCAAAGGATTCTCTTCGCTGGAGATAGTGCGGAGGATTTCGGGCCTGGCTGCACCGTTCCCGCAGATGGGAGTGTTCGAGGAAGCCGCCTCTCGCACGCCCGGGATGCATTGGGTATGTTCTACCAACAAAAAGACAAGAAACCAAAACAAGAACAACATCCACATCCCTTCAAACCATCTAAGAACAAACCGCAAAGGAAAATATTGTTTCATTTCATGATTGTTACATCAAATTCGCTACAACAATTTTACCAAAATAAAGTTAAAAACTAAACTTCTTCTAAACTTTATTATATAACATGTATTCAAATATATTTATGAAATCCTAAAACCACCTAAAAACAATATTTCTTCAGTCTTCCAGATTTGATGCCATAAATAATTAAAATAATTAAAGACTAAATGTCTCAAATATATTTATAAATTTACTTTAACATTGATGTTATTACAAGTATCAAAGTTACCATGACAAAAGACCATTCATTTGTTTTCTGCTACATCCATGACACCTCTACAAATTTACTTCAACATCGATCTTAGATAAGATGAATCAGACATTACTCGTTACAAATATTCATTACAATAATTTATCAAAAGAAAAGTCTAAGATCTTCCAAAATTGATTTTTATGAAAATTGTGTAAAAATTTAATTCTAATTGGATTTTATTTAAATATCAATAACAAATTTGTAAACATGTTAAAAATTAAAGAAAATTCTAGTTAATTAGAAATGATGATTGTAATACTTTTTTTTTTAGAACTAAATTATATTGAATCATTTAATTGCAATAAAGTTTACAAATCCAAAACTAACAATCATTATTTACTTAATTCCAATGATTGTGCTTGCAAGGACTTTGGTTTATCTTAGTTTCCCAAAAACTGTGCAAATAGAAAGAGAAACAAAAAAAAAACAAACATTAGCATCTTATCATCGAATTCCTCACAATCAAAGTAACAAAGTTTTATTTGCAATTGTTCTGTGTACATAAACTTAATGACATTCGCACACTTAAATCTATATGATTCATTCACGAAATATTCTTTTTTAAGTTTAATTTTTATATAGTTTTCAATAAAATCGTAGTTTTTAAATATTTTCATAAAGTCAACTTGATTTATTGGTTAAATTCCTAAAAAAAACAACAGTTGGAATGAATTCTGAAAAGCAATAGAAACTCTTTATCAAAACTGTATGGAAAACAAATGTGATCCATCAAAGTTGCATTAGTCACAGCTACAATACTAAATCATTTATTGTTAACTATTTTTTTTTGTAATTTATTTGTGATCTTTGATAATATGAAAACAATCAATAAATTTATAACAATTTACTTAAGTAAATCACGATTTAAAAAAGTAATTCTATATGCGATATAAAACAGAAGATATATATATATATTCTAATTTAGATGCAATTACTTATGTTTATCGTGAAAGCTTTGACCTCAGATATCCAATAGTTTGGTCAACCCTGTAATTTCTCGTAAACACTTGAAATCCGATAAAAGTCTGATAATGTCGAAGAGACGATGATGAGCGTATTTCACTTTTCTAGATTACTATTTAGATATTACTTATGAAGTCTGTAAAGTTTGCAGTAGGAAGTTAAACGTAATTAAAGTATTTATTAAAGAAAAGCCCTCAGGTCTTGGGAAACAATCTAAAACTTCAATTTAATTTTTTTACTTTGAAAATTTCTTCTATGAAATTAGAGTATTTCTTGATATAAGTTGGAATTAATCTGTATTGAAATGTAATCAATTCGATGAAAAGTTCAGTTCTCGTAATTTGCTGATTACTTCTGCAATTCTTCGAAAATAATTTAGAGGAAATTTTGAAAGATTCAATTTTTAAAGTTTACAAATTAATCTTTCTTAAAATGTAATCAATTCTACAAAATTTTATTAATTTGAACTCCAATTTAGAAACTTTACGTTAAGTTTACCTTTGAGGTAAATTTCAATTATTAGAATTGGTTAAAATATAATCAATTCTATAAAATTTTGTGGATTTTTCTAAAATTTTCATAAAAGAATAAGACAATATTGGAACATTATTGGAACTTCAATATTGAAACATTACATTGTAGATTTTCAATATTAAAATGTTTAGTTTAGTTCTCGTAATTTACTGATTACTTTTGCTATTCTTCGAAAATAATTTAGAGGAAATTTTGAAAGATTCAATTTTTAAAGTTTACAATTAATCTTTCTTAAAATGTGATCAATTCTACAAAATTTTGTTAATTTCAACTTCAATTATTAGAATTGGTTAAAATGTAATCAATTCTATAAAATTTTGTGAATTTTTTTAAAAATTTCATAAAAGAATAAGACAATATTGGAACATTATTTTAACTTCAATATTGAAACTTTACATTGTAGATTTTCAATATTGAAATGTTTAGTTTAGTTCTCGTAATTTACTGATTACTTTTGCAATTCTTCGAAAATAATTTAGAGGAAATATTGAAAGATTCAATTTTTAAAGTTTACAATTAATCTTTCTTAAAATATTCTACAAAATTTTGTTAATTTCAACTTCAATTTTGAAACTCTATTTCAATTATTATATTTTAATCAATTCTATAAAATTTTGTGGATTTTTCTAAAATTTTCTTAAAAGAATAAAGAATATTGAAACTTTACATTGTAGATTTACAATATTGAAAATGTTGTTTGTTTGATGCAGGCAGGATGATCAAATCGGTATTAAAATGTGAGCATTGCGATGAAATTCCGTGGAGGATATATATTTTTTTTGTTGTATATAGTTCTTTACAACCGGCGCTTCGTCTTCTCCTCGCTTTTACGAGCGAGCATCCAGTTTATCGACTCGAGGTTATTAAAGTCCTAGCTTTTATCGCTTCCATTCTTTACAACAATTTTGCACGCGGATATTCGGCGAAATCCGCAAACATCAAACGTACATATACAATAATTTTTTTTTATACTTGTTAACATCTCAATAAATTTCGAGTTTATCGGTTTCGACAAAACATTTTTCACCGTCTCATAAAAATAAACGAATGGAATATTCATTCTTAGGTAAAGTAAATCAAAGAATATTGCATTTTGATTTGATCAAAATGTTACATGAGATTGATATCAAATGAATGTTTCTTTCCTCGAACAAATATACAAAGTGGATATTGAGTTTCAAATAATGTTAATTTAACGGTTGGAGTTACGTTAAAGGACAGAATTTATGAAAATTTTGGTTTTCTTTATTGTATTTTGCGTTTGTTTGTTAAGTGTATTGAATAATTCCTATTCTTTAGACGGGTTTTTTTGAGACGATTTAAATAATTATCTATATTACGTTCTTTCCTAGCATTAGCATAATTCGTAGATAAGCTTTTGGGCCATTTGCATGACCTTCTTTGGGACTGTTAATTTGGATTAATTACTTCGGATTAATGTGCCGTGTTCGCTCAGGGAATCGATTTTTTAGTTGAGACGACGATTATAAATTGGGACAAGCGTTCGGATTTGAAAATTCATTTATTTCATCAAACTTTAGAGTTTCATTTCTCGAAGCTAATTTCATTGAATATTCAAATTGTTCTTTTATTGTTGGAAAGGATACGCGATCTATAAATGTGAAAGAGAAGCAAACGGATCGAAGGAAGGAATCCGATTCCAATCATAATCCACGGTCGTCGATGTAAAACCGAGAGTTTATCGTGTATTTCTATGCGGCGGTATTTCCATGCCGATGCGCGAAATTAAACGGAATTTTAAGAGCTCTGCTCGCTCCTTTCTGATCATCTCTCGATAAAAGTTATAGAAGACGATGACTACTTCGATTCTGGAGAAAATGATGTCTCTTTCTTTAAATTGCCTTGCATTTGTACTCGCTATGTTAATAAATACAGCAAATATCGGTTAAAACCGGACTAAATGCATACACTAATAAACCGCACAATAAGAGACTTGATTGTATAATGGAAAGAAATAATTATTAATGTATACAAATTTAGTTTATTTTAAAATTTTCAAACTGACTATAGTGAGTTTGACCCGGTGGCAATCGCAAGCCAGACAACCGAAATCCCGTCTATCGAAATCCCGACAGTCTCTTTTATTATTATAAATTTCTACAATAACATTTATAAGGTAGTCGGGATTTCGATATAGTCGAGATTTTGATTGTCGGGATTATGATAGTCGTGTTTGCAAGCGTCGGGATTTTAATACAGCCGGGATTTCGATACAGTAGGGATTTCGAATGTCGGGATTTCAATAGACGGTCTTTCGGTTGTCGGTCTTGCGATATAGACCCAGTTTGACCATATCGAAGCCGCACTATGCGAGTACATATTTAACGAAAGAAAAATGTGCAACATTATTCTTTATACATAACGATTTATTCGCATTTATTGAAATACTTATTAGATTCAAGTGAACATAAAATCCATTTTGTACCAACAATTCCAACTTGCATTAGATTTTATATAATCCTTGATACATGTTTACTTTTCATATAACAAACTAAATATTTTTTTTTTTAAACTAACAACCAACATTTTTAACATGTTTTTTATAAAAATTTGATCATTTTATTACAAATATTATATGCGTACCTTTTTAACTATTATCTTAAAATGTTGACAAATTTAACAATTTTTAAATGCTTTTTTTAATCAAATATTCTAATTAATGCTTTTGTATTGAATTTGCACATCTTTATTCTTTTCAATTTGTCTAATTACAAATAAAATACTCATATTTTATCAGACCTTGAAATTCGATTTTCAAAATTTATATTGATATTTCATACAAACTTTGATTTCTATTGTTTTAAAAACACCCTTAAGTTTATTTTGTTTAAATTTTTTAATTTGCACTTTAAACTTTTATTATTAGAAATAATTTGAATTAAAAAATGGTAATTTTCTCTAGAAATCAGAATTTTCTTCCTTCTTTCCCTGTTTCTGTTTTTGTTGCAGCATTAAATTTTCTTTGTTAATTTTAAGATTTTTCTAGTTATTTTATAATCTTGCAGAAGTAATCAGCAAATTACGAGAACTAAACTTTTCATCGAATTGATTACATTTCAATACAGATTAACTCCAACTTATATTAAGAAATAATTTTAATTTTATA